CTCAGCCTGTAATACTGATAGACAGAAAGAGAGAGAGATAGAGAAACAATCAGGCAGCGGAACCGTGACCCAAGGCCATAAAGTATGCAGGGTAAAAATATTTACAGCTACGAGAACAGTAAGTAAACTTTGCTTATAAGTTGCACAGCTACAGAAGGAATTGTTGTGTCTGCTTTGAGTCATATTTTCATCAGATCTTTCTTCATGGGATTGCTTGGGGAAATGTTCATGAGAAAATTGCAAGTTTGCCAACATGCAGCACTATTTTTGGCAACCGCATTCACATTCACTGGCAAAATGCAAAACCAGCCAAGGGATTGCCGACCTATCACGCAAATCAACTTGCCACAGAATCGCACTTGCCTCCGAGCCACCAAACTAAAACCCAATTCAGGAGCAGTCTTTAGTCAAGCGCGTGAAATACCAAGTAGCTGTTAACGCAAGGCGATTGTGGCGTAGATCAACTTACTATATGTAAACTGTCATATGCACAACTTGTAGAGACCTCATTATGCCTCATGCAGCTGTTCGTGTAGTTGGTAGTTCTACGAAAAGTTCGTACAACGTGTTGGCAATTTATGCAACAGTGGGCAGAATAAAACTTTATTGCATAACTTGCACTAAAATATGCTTTTTGTATGCTCATAAAAATGAAATTGACAACAAAGCTGACCATCTGTGGGTGGGCGGGATGTGTGGTTGGGGGTATGCGTGGTCAGATATGAGTAAACTGTAATTTGCACACATTTTAATATATATATATATATATTTTTTTTACTTTATTTACAAGTGTGTATCTGTGTGTGTGTGTGTCTGATATGTCCCACTTTAAGAGAGGCTTACCCAAAATTATGCAAAACAACATTATTGCTCACACATATTTGTGCAGACTCAACTACACATGTGCAAAGAAGTAAATGCATAGCTCACACACACACTCACACACACACACACATGCAGAAATACACACATACCTTTATAGAAAGTTTTGCATATTTTACGCACTGATTTGATGCTCAAGTACTGTTATCTCAGCAGCCTGTCTGCCTTGGGCAATCTACTTGGCATTCTTATAATGCCCTCTACTACATATATATGCCAAAGAATATATTATACTCTGAATATATTAAAAATACGCAAAAGGGTATCATGAAAAATATAACAGGCAGAAGGAGGCATCTCCGTACCCACAAAATATATATTCTTAATCAGCATCAAAAGCTTAATCGATTTAGCCATGTTCGTCTATCTATTTGAATAATTCAATCTCAATCTAAGAGCTAGAGACTAATTTGAAATATCAGTTCCAGTATACCATTGAGCAAGCATTTGCGAATATCGATACAAATCGATTTTCGATAGCAATAAAATTGTACATATACAATTATTAAGATATATATAAAAGCAATCTATTATTATTTCGAATTTTATTTTCTGATGCAAAATAAAATCAGCATGCATACATATATAGAGATACTGATATGCATTTGGTTTTTGCAGCTTTTATTAGAATATTTATGAAACAATTGCCAGAGATTTATCTGTTCATTGTATATTAATAAATGAAGCATGAAGTAAACAATTATATTTTATAATTTTGCACATCTCATGGAATATTAAAAGATGCGCAGCTTAAGCTCTTTGAGCCAAAATTGTATGCACAGCTTCATAATTAAATTAAATACAAAATCCTGTGCTCGAAACGCACTTATTAAATGAACTGGAGCTTGTTGTTCATTTTAAATGAAATATGCAAAAGTTAAAAGAACCAAAATATACTTTAAGTGTCACAATTTTGACAACAAATTAAATACGGAATTTGTTGTAGCTGTACATTCGGAGTTATTTTACATATTTAAATTGTTTGTATAGTTTGTTATTCAACCAGATATAGAATTTGATATGGGATTTTTAACTTCAAGCATAACACATTTCTAGTGCTTATGTCATAGACAATATTAACTGAACCGAATGTATCTGAAAGCCATATCTCGCAGGGCATTGAACAGTCGAGCCATGACCTCAATTGGAATATTCTCCGTAGATTTTATTTCCCATTTTATTATTGTATGCTGCAGTGACATTTTTTTCGCTTAACTTGGTGAAATGCACAATGCAAAGATTTATTTTATGCTGACAAACAGCGCTTCGCTTGCTGGTAATCGATGGAAATGAGCAGTTCCATTTTGTACGATTGGCAGAGAGACACGGAGACATTTCGATGTGCTCTGCTCCAATGGCACTTGGCATGGTTGTTTGTCTGTCTGATTATCGATAGAAGCACACAGTCAGAAGACAGAGAAATTTATCCAACTCATCTCAACTGAGGCAATAAATAAGAATATCAGCCAATCAAGCGGATTCCGTTCGACTTGAGCTAATTTGTTATACTGTATATAAATAGTTTATGTAACAAATGCAAGGCATGCAAGGCGAGATACAAATTCATAATGGAAATGGACTACATATGTATGTCATAACTCAACTACACTTGCTCACATATATAAATGTGCTGAGCTAAACCCAAAAAAATTATATACACAGTATATGCTTTATTAACGGCAACAATTTCTGGTTATTTATAAGAATTTCCTGCTGCATATTTTTATGGGCTGACGGTCAGCTGAGTATTTCCGACGGTCCGGAAGCAAATCACCGTTGAATATAAATATGAATTTCTATGGCATGGCTGGGTAAGTGGCTTATAAATCAACAGAAATCAGATCTGACACACAAATGAACAAAGCTTCGAGGCAAAATGTTGATGCTCAAATGGGCATCAGAAATGTCACTTAAGCGTTTTCCCCTCATAATGACAGTTCGTCCAAGACACTCAATTATGTGCCCCGAGATTAGACATATTGTCTAAATACCTTAAGCTTCTATTTGAATTGGCAATCTTTGACACTGGCCAAGGAACAAGCGAACAACACCAACAATGACAATAGAAAACTTTTCAATTTGATTCAATGTTGCTCAGACGGCGTCGGAGAGTGGCAACAATTTGGTTATAAAAAGTTTTTACATAAATTATACCATCTCTAAGCACTTGCAAGCGCAAAGTTGCAAAGTAAACAATCAAATTCATTGGAAAAATGTCGCAACCAAAGATATTATACGATTAGCCATAAAAAGAAGACACAACAAAATCCCATCAAAATTAAATTTATGCAGCTGAACGAAGTTAAGATGAACGCTCCTCGCATTTTCGCAGCATGGCAATAAATTGTAATAAGCAATTAAAATCTTATCATAAGGATTGTTATTAATATCACTAAGTGCTAATAAAAGCAATACATAAAACTCTTTTTTTGAAGAAATATTTCTATAATAATGCAAAATCAATATTAATTAGAAAGCTTTCTGCTGACAAATACATTCAAATTTGAAATACACTCGAGACATTAGTTTATATGTAAAAGAATATAAATATATAGTATTAAATTGTTCATTAGCAACTGTGAAACAGTACTCTAAATTTGACCCAAATATTATAGTAAAGGTTTGTTTAATGCGTTGGCTACTAATGGGCCTGCTTATATATTTTGTTTGCATAAATAATTCGAATAATTAAATATACCTGAAGCAGATATCGATACTAATTACATAATTATGAAGCTTATTGTTCTGGATTTTGAAATTTGTTGTGTATGTTATATATAAGTATATCGACTTTGCTGTAAATGATGGCCTATGAGTTGGTGAATTCGCACAAATTAATAATAAATTTTCGAAAATTTTCGTATATATGTAAAGTTGCTTATAGCAGAATATGTAAATCGATTAGTTGTTTGTGTGTGCTACACACGCACATGTTATGGCAGTTTCTGTTTAACTATTTAAAACTCTGCCTCCCATTTAGCCCAAAACTTTAGCGCAATATATTCTACTTCAAGGCTCCATTCGACATGTGCTTATGTGTGTGTGAATGTGTGTGCGAGCCAAGTAGGAGATAGCACTTGTACACATACGCAAGGGCCTATTAGCTCACACACACACACACACACACCCACACACAAACATTAAGAAGGACCCAGCAGTGACCACGCATAAGGCAAGTAAAATCGAAAAGAAAGCGCGTTGGCAAAGAGGAAACGAATAGAAATAAAAACGAAATGCCAAACAAACCAAAATACAACAGCAACAAAACGAAACAGCAAAATGTCGGCAGGGATAGAAAGAGAGCCAGAAAGAGCCCGAGAGCGAGAGAGAGCGAGCAAAAGCAAATGGCTGCAAAAACAATGCAAACAGCAAATGACGACGACGACGACGACTCTGCGTCTGTGACTAACTAATCAACGGTGAGGGGGTGCGTTGAACGTCGGAGCGGGGTCGGGGGCAGGGTTTCGGGGCAGACAAATGCAAAGCTGCTTAGTGCTTACTTCATAGTTTACGCTTACAGCGACTCGAGGCCGCCAAATGGCTTTGCTATTGATTTTTAGTTTTTCTTTCTTGCCTTCTCTTTTTTTATATTTCACCTCTCGCTCTCGGTGTCCGTCGCCGCCACTGCCTTTGGATCTTGGGAGCCGTTAGCTCAATGGCTTACTGTCTTCCTGGCCAACACCAAAAACTCTGCACTATATGCAAAGTGCAACGCAACTACAAATCGGATTTGCGTGAGTAATTGGCAAGACAAGAGTTTCGGGCTTAGAGTGCATTGGCAACATTCAGCAGTAAAAAGAATGACTGTTGCCCATGTTCTGGTTGTTGTTATTGTTTGGTGTGAAACCTCACTAACGTTGCCAAAGGTAAAAAAGAAAATGCGAGTAAAAAAAAAGAAGAAAATGCGACAAAAAACAACAAAATCGTACAGAAAAACTTGACTAAAAGCGCAAATGCGTTATGTGTGCCAAAACACACACAGACACAGACACGACACACACATATATATACACAATGAGGAGGAGGAGGTGGTGGTCTGGCAAGGAGCTTAGTTTTATTAAGTGACAGACAGAGGGACAGTTAGACAGTTAGACAGTTGGTAGTCATTTGGGACTTACCTCATCGATAAACTCAAAATCGCCGCCCGTTTCGCCAACGTATTTCTTCTTCTTGGCATCGGCGCTGCCAAGCAGACAGGATGACATCAACACCAGCAGCAGACAAACGCTGGCAATGAGCGGAAAACGCAAACGCTTCATGGCAACGATTCGCAGAGCGTAGCAAGCAACCACAAACAGGAGACGGTAACAGGCTCAAAATGAGTGTCGAATTGTTGACAATTTTCTGCTTGCTGCGGGGACTGTCACAAATCGCAATGGCAATGTTAATTGCTAGTCGCTAGTCGAAATCAAGTGCGTGAGTATTGAACACAGCACACAGACACACACACGCAAGCTCACACACACGCACGCACGCACGCACACTCACACAAACGGACAAACAATGTAAGTTTTGCGCTAGCGTTGCAATGCAGCTGAAAAACACGGAACGTGATTGAACTGTAAGCGACGCGACCAAAACGTAAACTGAGCGCGCACTGAGCGATTTGCATTTGCTCGGCCCAAGACGGCATTGGAATTTTGCGACAAACGAGGAGAAAGCGCAAAGCCCGACAAAAGAGCGTTGCCAGGACATGTAACAGACAGAGAGAGAGCGCGAGAGAGGGAGAGAGAGAGCATAGGGTTGCAAACATAACTTTTACTTTGTTTAAATAGCAACTATTTTTAGAAACTTATTGTTTGCAAGTGATTTAATTTAGCATTTAAAATAACATTTTTTTCTCCTTGCAAACTATTCACAATAACGCCAATAAAGTCCTGTTATTTATGCTACATTTGCTGAACAGCTTTTACTCATAAAAAGTTAAAGTATAACATTTGTTTTCAGTGTACGCCACGGCGTATGCGCAATGGTAGCAACCCCTGCCAGGAATCGCCTACTCGTTCTCAACGCGACTGGGCGACAAGCAACAACTGCCCAAGCGCTTCCAGACGACAACCAGCAGAAGCAGCAGCAGCAGCAGCAGCAGAAACAACAACAACAAAAACAAGTAACGCAAAGAGAACAACCTCCAAAATCGATTTTCTTTCACGACTACTGCCTCCCCGCTGGAGTCTCTCATTCTAACGAGAATGCTCTGGTCACGCTCTTAACTGCGCCGCGTCAATTCGCGGCAAATCTTAAATGGGCTTCAGTTGCTGTTGTTGTTGTTGTTGCTACTGCTGCTGGCAGTAGCTGTTGGCTGCTGGCTTTTGATTTTTATATTTCGGCGCTTGGCACACTTGGCCCGCTTCGATGGCGCCGTCGCCAGGATTGCGGGGAAGTCCCGTAACCATTTAACGCGTCAGCGCCTCGCAGGCTGGCCAAAAGCAGCCTCCAAATCGACTCAGCCACGCTGGCCCCCCCCCAGGCTCTGTCAGTTTTAAATTAATAGCCACACACACACACACTAGCACACAGTAACAGTTATGTGGGAACGCATCCGGGACTGCCTACGTTTATGTGTGTTTGTGTGTGTTGCCTGTTTAACTGCCCGCTTCCGCTCCCGCTGCTGCTCCTCCATTTATAATGGCATCATTGACTTTTGCTCTCGTAGTGCTTTTGGTCGCACTCCAGCGAGTATTTCGTGGGTCAACTGGCCTGTGCTTGCGCATCAGTAATAATTGGTGGCTTAATGGAATCCGCTCCTAGTCAATGAAAACTAGTTGCAATTTTGAACCCATCTCCAGTTGGGATTATTTGGGCAGAATTTGTACATGAATTTCGAGCGAAAGTCTTGTATCCAAATTTAAATGTAGTCCTCAGTTTTGACTTTAAATGTGATTTTTTGACTCTTGCAATAATTGTGGGTAGTAATATTCAAGAAACAAAAACATTTCATTAACAACAAATTTGTTAAATCATTACAGTTTATTTTGATATTCAAATGATTTTCAATCAACAAGTCCATTGTATGTAACATGTAGTTATTGTTGCTATTCCATTCCTTTCATTCATTTTATATAATGGCCAGTAAAAAATTTGTGCTCGCACTTGATGCTATAAAAACTATACATATACTTATAATTCTTATTGTTGTTGGTTTTTTTTTTTTTGTTTTTTTGTTTGCCATGGCTTTAAAAGTTTTATATATAGTTATACAATACATATTTTGATTTTCAACACAAAGAAATTAGTTGTATAATGGTTTGGTAGATTAATAATTATTTTTTGGTTAGTTACAAGTCTTAAACGCTTTCTAAATTGGAAATGCCTGATAATGTTTTGTTAGTTTCGTTTGGAACAATTAATTCAAATACAAAATAAAAGATACAAATTAAATGCGACTTGAGACAGCTGCTTCTTTGTTCACTGGGGCGCCAAAAGATTGCCTAAACTATTTGTAATTTTGTCTAAATGCTACATGAAAAAAAAAGTAAATCAGTATTTTAAAAAGGAATACTATTTGCTTGGCTGCTGTCGCTTTTTTGGCCGCTTTAACATTATGGCTATATAAAAAATTGATGCAGTTGGAGATTCTGATGGCATTTACAAATGCACTTTAAGAGATTCCATGCGTGCCACAATACGACGACTGAGCTCCGCATATCTGCAAAGAGGGAAAGAAAAGGCCGCATTATTAGCCGCAAATTTCAAAAGGAATTTCTTATACTCCTACCTCTCTTTGATTTTGACCACCTCACGAGCCAATTCCTGATCATAGCGATCCAAAATGGCGCGACACTCTGGCACCGATAGATTTAAAAATTGAGCAACTTCATTACTAAAAAGATAGAAACGATTTATATGTAGATCGTTTGGCTATTGTTTTTAAGGATTAACTCACCTGATTTCATCAGTTTTGCGTGCATCTACTAGAAAGAGGCGTGCCACATCCTCGTGCGGACCGAGCGTGATGCGCGTTATCAGCGGATATTCATTGTCCTTCAGGCGCTTCTGCTCGCCATTGTCGCGTACGATGAACAGCGAGAAATTCTCCGCTGCGCTATCCACCTTATATTTCTCAAGCACCAAATTGATGACCTCCTGCGTAGTCACCAGCGACGAGACCCAGACAGACATCTGCGAGCCATATGGTGGCGTAAAGAACGACGTCTCTCGATTGTAGTAGTGACCATTAATCGAACAACGGCGTTTCAGCTTTGTACGGGAACTGCAAAAAATAATATTGAGTTGCTGAATGATTAAAGCAGCCTAATGATCCATTTACTTACCGCCTGTTGCCGCTGCGTCGCTTGATTGCCGCAGCCCCAGTGCGTGGTGGCCTTCTCAAGACAACGCCATCCTCGGTGACATGCAAGCCCGCATCATTGGCACCCGTTTCTGCTTGAGCACTTCCTCCGCCCTCGGTGGCCGTGTAAAGCGACTCCGTTTGGGTGAGCTCGTCACCAGCCACAGCGCCGCTTAATACCTTAAACAAGTTATGAAATTATTATTCAAATAGATAACGCTATGATTGTGATAAAACTAAAGTACATTTTGTAATCAACTTAAATATACTTATGTGCTTAATGTCAGTCAATTTCCCCAGTGGTATACATGTGTAAGCTCAAATGAGTTTATACACGGCATGTGCGACTGTTGTCAAAGCAGTTCTAAATTCAGTAAACATTTCAATATTTAAGGAGCATTATAACTATCGCCACTGATGAATTATATTTGACCAATTTATATGTGTCTAGCAAAAAGACGAATGTGCAAGATTCATCAGGTTACTGACAGACAGGACTGCATGGAAACAGAGATCTATACTGGACCGATAGATAACAGATTCTTGCTGTTCTAAGAACTGAGTATACGTACAAAATAAAAGAACTTGGCAAAAGCTAACACCCTTTTCGTTGGACATCAGTCCTATTAAGTTAAGACTTGTCTTGAATAAAATACAATTATATTACCGATGATGCATCTGCACGACTCGAATCGTTCTCAGCACCACCAGCACAACGAGCTGCACCTTCTTTGGGATAGCAATTCATTTGGATTTGTATATAACGTTGAGGCACATCGCTGCGACGCATTGTGGCCAACCGCTGAGGACGCAGTGTGGTATCGTCATCGTCGTCATCGCTGTCCGAGTAGACAAAGCAGCTGGGACCCGACTTGGATCGATTGATGCCCTTCTCAAAGATATGGCGACCCGGCTCATATGGCTTTTGTTGTTCCCGACTGGGCGCTGTGGAGGCAAAAGCCGATCCGCACTTCTGCAACGCATACTGACGCTGCGAAGAGCGTGGCGAGTTGGTGCTGCTCCGCAAATGCATCGTATCATTAATCAGTGTGGGATCGATGGAGCGCAACGCGTGCTCGCAGTTAAAGCTTTTGCTCATGGCCGAGTTCTCGCCGTAAAATTTCAGGGAGTCATTGATGCGCGAGGGATCGATAGGTTGATTGCGCTTCAGGGTACCTTCGTTAGGCTCCTGAAAGGAGTTTGCACCATTTACATAATCCTGATGAACGCTGCGCTTAAAATCCTCGAAATCCATTGGTTTCAACGTCGCATCATCCAATGTCTTGTACTCATCCAGTGTGGTGTTGGCGGTGCTCACAGTGGTTGTGTTTTGCGTATTGGTGTTGGCAGTCAAGGAGTCAGTGGCGGTCATAAAATTATCTGAGCTGGTGCTAGTTGTGTTATTCGTGGTCGTTGTCGGTGATGAGGCAGTGTTAATTTGATTATTCTGCGTGTTTGTCGAGGAGCTGCTGTCACTGTTCGTTTTACTGGGTGAACTCTCGCTTGATGATTGTGACGATGACGAGGGCAACTTCACCGGCATTGTTCCATAGATTTTGTCCTTATCGCTCAGCCGTCGTTCCACCTGCAACAGATCGTCAATATCATCCCAGTCGAGTTTCTCCAAATTGTCCAATTTGGAGGGCAATGTGCTGGACACGCAGCTGGTGCTAGCCGTGGCGGCATCTGTGCCACTGCCAATAAGCGTGCTTGAGGAGTCCGTATTTGTTGTCTCCTCATCGTCATTGTTGGCATTCGACTGGCCATTCAGAAGCTGTCCACTGCCTGTTGTTGTTGTTGCATTCGCGGAGGCATCTTCGGGTGTTGTCGGCAGCTCGGATATCTCATTGAGACTGCATGAGTCAAAGGTCATGCTCTCCGACAGTGATATGTCCGTGGAAAGCGGATCCACCTCGCTGGCGGTCGTTGTAGGAGCCGCCACTGATTCGCTGGCTTCGTTCTCCTTATCCGAACAGCTTTCCTATGAACAATAAAAGATCGAAAATGTATGAAAATGCTGTATAGCGTTTCAAAATGGTTGGATCTATAAAGGAGGGCTGCTTATAGACAAGTCATTTTCTTAAGGGCGGTAGTCTATTATGGGAGGATTACTTCCCATTAACTTTTACTTAGTGCGCAAGTTTATATGCCGCTGTTTTTTCCAGTAAAAATACTCAACATTTCCTTCCTGATCAGCATTTCTTACCGTAACTATAGTAATCAATATCAAACTCAATCGATACTAGCTTGAAAGAAATTCCTTAATTACTAATCTAATCACAAAGCCAGTAAAAAAATCCCAACACGTCACAGACTACAACTATTTTCTTATGATTAACTCATCAACTGAACATAAGTAGGCTTAAATAATTCAATAAATTGAAGTCTAATTCAATAACAAAGTCATCTAAACTTACATCCGCCGCCTTGGACGTACGACAGGAGTTGCGCTTGCGCACAATAAACGTGCGCTGATCGTCGTCCTCCTTCAAATGAATGACGCCCTGCACGCCCCAAAAGACGCGCAGTTGACCCTCCAAGATCAGACGATTGTTCACCTCCCGGCTGCGTATCTCGAGGCTTTTATTGTCATAGAACTGATTGTAAAACTGTAAATAGAAAAAGCGTATTAACTTTATTTCTTTGTTTGCCACATGTCTCAGACCCACCTTCAGCTTGGACTCTAAATGATCGCGTGGCAGTGCGGGTCCATTGACCTGAGCCGCGACTGGCTTCTGGGCGCCCTTAGCGCCGTAGCTCTTGTGTGACTCAACGCGCGTGCCGTGACCAAAAAGCTGCGGTCCGAACAAAGCACCGTAGCAGGGCACATGACAATAAGGCACTCCTTTATGCTTTAGGTAGAAGGGAGAAGAAAAACAAAACAAGAAAACAATTGCGATTAATTGCGTCTTATATGAATGCTGCAACTGATTAGAATACCTCTGCATGCTGGCCCGGATTAAGGCGCTTGCCGCACTCCTCGCAACGCAAACATTCCGGATGCCAATCGTAGCCCAGTGATTGTTTACGTTCCGCTGTGTTAGACACACACGAAATCAAAAAACATATATATTAATAATTTGAATGTTGTTATTTAAACAAATGGCATGCACATTACATGCATAGGTGTGTGCATGTGTGTGTTTGTGTGTGTGTTTGTGTGTGTGTGTGTGGGGGTGTGTGTGTAAGGAAATGCTAATATGTGGGTGTTTTAATTACCAAAGTAAACGGGTTTGCCGCACTTGTGGCACTTCCACATTCCGCTGTGCTGTGCTGTCAGTCAGTCAGTCGGTCGGTCAGTTCAACGTTTCCTTTACGGGGCGTGCTTGTCGTGTATGACGTATGTGACGTCACACAGATTTATGCAGGTTGCTGCTGCTGCTGCTGAACAACACGGAACACAAACACACGTAGAACAAGAACACAGAAGACAAAGAGTAAACAAATGAAAAAAGACAGTGGCGACAACGGCAACGGCAACTGCAATTTAGCGATTCATTTTTAAAGTTTCATAAAGGAAATTAGCACTTGGCGCCTTTAAGTAGTATGCAAAACGCATGTGCATTGATAACAACTGCGGTTTTCATAGACAAATTATATTACACAAAAAAACAGCACCAGGCAAAAGAATCAGAAGAACCAAAGGCAGCGCCAGTGCTGCTCACCGTCCAATTTTGTCACCAACTGCTGGTGCTGCTGTTGCTATACAACACTGCCTATGCGCTTTGGCTAAATTTAGCACGTTATTTAGCGCGAGTAGAAAGTGAGACGACGTATTGTTGTGCGCGTCGTTTTGTGGCAAATATTTTTTTTGTTGATTACGCTCGCATTACGCCAGTTGTTAATTAATTAGTTTTTCAGCATACATGAGTGAATGCAGTTTGAAAGAAAAATGCTCGCCTGTCATTGCAACTTCGACGCCCATAATTAGGCACCACATCTCTCTCTCTCTCTCTTCGTCTCGCTCCCAAATCGCCAATCAATTGCGGAGCAGAAGCAACAGCTGAAAGCAACCAAATTTCGCTCTAGCGATTTGTGTGTAAATAGCCAACAGTGCAAATATTGCAGGTCAACTACTGCAAAAAGAAAAAAAGAGTGCCTGTGCTTGTGTTTGTGAGTGTGTTTGTGTTCTTGTGTATGTTTTACAATGCGCGCCACAATTGAGTTTGAAGAATGCCTAAAGGATTCGCCGAGATTCAGGTGCGTATTGAGTTGCCTCCCCTCCCCGTGTCCCTCTCCATTTCCCTTTTCCTTTTGCATACATTCTGCGCATTATGCGCATTCTATTTCCGCATTTGGCATTTGCCATATTTGCATTTGGGCTTCATACATACAACATTTACTCAGCTCACCTTTTATATTGTTGTAGCGTGACTGGTGCCGCTATATCGAGCTATCAGCAGCTTTCGTTGCTCGCCCTCCCTCCCACCCCCTCTAGTTTAGAGCACGCCTCTTCTGCGCTAGCTTAATCATCATTGGAAAAAAGTTTGCACTTGACTTGAACATCGTCAGAGTTTCGGAATTTGTTATTCATGCATAACGAGTTGGAAAACTCGAACTCGTTTCTGTCTTCAAAATTGAGTTGAATGTGTACATGTGTGTGTGTGTGTGTGTGCGTGCATTGTTATGTTCGTGACACGACTCACGAATATGCAACGTTTTTGATAAATCCAACACGCTCACTTCTGCAGTAATATTTGTTTTCAGTTTTAGTTTATTTTAATTACTCCGAGTGTCGATTTTGAAATTCACCCAGTCAGCTTCTTTGTCTTTGGTTAATCTCGTCAAAAAGCAAAGCTTTCGCTCTCAATTGCCACAGAGATTGTTTTTTAATTGCCAGGCCAAGCTTAGACCATTTCATAGCTTTCACATGAACCAAAACAACGACGCAACAGGTTATAAAAAATGTATATTTTTTTTATTTGAAATGCTTCAAAATGTTTTTGTCAGCGTCTGCGGTTTTTGAAGGAAAAAGGGTGAAAAAAAAGAAATGACTTTGATGCGCGCCTTTAATTAAAAGCGCAAACAGCACTTTAATAAACGGGCATAAATTAAAAGAGTCAACATAAACAATGAGTGGCAAAGACTACGACGCAACTGCCATTGCCTGCAGGCCCTTCCCCTCCCCTCTGCACTAGATGACTTCTTCGGGGCTGATTAAGCACACACTGGGCAGGCACAAAGTTAATCGCTTGCGACAGCGACTCGGGGTTGTCAAACACAAACAGAACAAGAACAGCAAGAGCAGGGCTCAAATCAACATTGCTAACGTCTTCAATTTCTCAATTTGCCAACAGACAATTCATATCCAAGGAGGAGGCGGATATTGAGCATTTGGAGCAGCGGCTGGAGAAAATCATCAAGCTGTGCAATGTGGCCGTCGATTCGGGCAAGGAATATGTCAAGAATCAGAGGTAAACTCACTTCTCATCTCGCTTATCTTATGCGTATTTTGATTAACTTCTCTTTTACGACTTGCAGCGCGTTTGCCATGTCCTTGTGGGATCTGCAGCAGCATTTTCTTGATAATAAGAATGCGCACAATGCGCTGGGCAAACTGATTCATTGCTTCCAGGTGTGTTTTTTTTTTATTGTTTTTTTATTAGTTATTTTGGTTTTCACCATTTTGGCTTTCTTTTGCAGGAAATGAACAAATTCCATACGATATTATTAGATCAGGCCAATCGAACGGTGCTGAAAAATCTCAACGTATTTGTCAAAGACGATATTAACCAGGTCAAGGACTACAAAGGACACTTCCTGAAGGTCTCCGAGGGCTATGACAATGCGCTCATTAAGAACGCTCAGGTGCGTATATTTAAATCAACTATAAATATGTCAACGCTCTGAACAGTGTTTCCCACATTCAACAGGCTGGCAAAAATCGACCGCAGGAGGTTCAGGAGGCAGCCAATATATTGTCTGCCTCAAAGTCTTGCTTCCAACACACTGCTTTGGACTATGTCAACTATATTACGCTAGTGCAGGCCCGCAAGGTGCCTTCCATACTGTCGACGGTAAGTGACGTAAATCGCCGGAAATTACATACGGATTTAGGTATATTTCCTAAAACAAAATGTTTAATTAGAGTAGCTGGTTGATAAATTTTATAGCTCGACTGAAATGCTCTTTCTGAACTCAACTTGTTATTAAGTAATAAAAATATAAATATATTTATACAGTATAAAATAGTACTACACAAAGCGTAGCACTAATTGTCAGATTGTGACATTTTTAAAATGAGTGAATCAAAACTAGATTATGCAACATATAAACAGACTTTCAGTTTCAAAAACTGATTAAAAACATAAAAAAGCTATTGCTGATAATGAACAAATTGAATTGGAGAACTACGACCCCGCTACCTATAAAAAGAACACCACAAATTTGTGCTGACAAATGACAGAACGTGGATTATAATTGTGTTTGACATAAGCTGCAAAAGAAGAAAGAATTACAAGCGATGTAGATATGAATTAAGTAAATAAATATATATATATAATGCTAGACATCCGAATGATAAAATACATAAGTGTTGTACGCAATAAGTAGAGCTATTATTATTGATTTGTATATCTTATCGGGACGGTCAAGCGATATGAGTATATGAATGAAATCGCATTGTCTGCAACGCAAACAAACAAAATCAACAATAATTGTTGTGGTTATGACGTCATTTGCACATTGGATATCTACATATGTGTGTTATGGGTTTTTATTTGATCGGCATTGAGTCAGCCTGCGCCGGGCAACTTATTCAGTCGATTCTGAAGTGTGGTCGTTGCAGGTTCGTTGAACGTCGTCAATTATGAAGACATAAATAAATGCAATTGTGTGTTGTTCTTTTTGTTGTTGTTGCTGTTGCTGTTGTTTTGGGACGTGTGCTTTTGCTTGATCAAACGTATTTGTTCTTCGTTTATCTTTGGCAGCTGCTGGACTATTATCAGGCGTGCGTGACCTACTACCATCAGGGCTTTGATTTATGCAACGACTTTGACGAGTTCTTCAAGAATATCAGCGAGGATTTGAATGCTCTCCGCGGCGACTATCAGCAGCTGGAGAAGGTCATGCAGAATCGGCACATGAGCGTGAATCGCTATTGCGATTCAAATACGAACAGTGCCTCGCACAATGTCGAGGGCTATCTGTTCAAGAAGAAGTCAAAGGGCTTTAAGACTTGGTGTCGACGTTGGTTCTACCTCAGCGATAACCAGTTGGTCTACAGGTGGGTTTGCCATTTACTTTGCTTTACTATTCCTTTCTGCTTGCCTTGCTCATTTTGATTCTTTTGATTTTTCCAATTCCAATTCCAACTTCAATTTGTTCGTTCTGCTTGCCGGTTTGAATCGTCTCTCGTCATTTGTTTGCCATTTTGTACTCGTATTCTGAATTTCTGTTGTTGTGTTTGTGTTGTTGTGATTGATTACGCTGAAGAGATTTGGATTCGCTTTGCAGAAAACGCAGCAACGAGGATTCGTTTTCGGTCATGGAGGAGGATCTGCGCATCTGCACGGTGCGGCCGGTGAGCGAAGGCGAACGTCGGTTCTGCTTTGAGGTCATCTCGCCAACCAAGTGAGTAATAATCGAATCCAACTAATTCAATCTATTCACTCTCAATTCTACACAAACTAGATCTCACACACTCCAAGCGGACTCAGCGGACATGCTCTCACTTTGGATATCGGCGCTGCAGCACAGCATTGGAGCAGCTATACAACACACATCGACACATCACTCACGACCACAGTCGACGAATGTGCCGAATGCGCTGCCAGCGAAGCGACGCATGTGAGTGTGAATTGTGAATAATCCATATTGATAAGAGTTCTATGTAATGAATCATATTTAGCCACTGGGAAGAGTTCTTGAAAATACCAGGAAATGCGCAGTGCTGCGATTGTCGTGGCTCAGATCCACGTTGGGCTTCCATCAATTTGGGTATCACGCTGTGCATCGAGTGCTCTGGTGTGCATCGCAGCCTGGGCGTCCACTACAGCAAGGTGCGCTCCCTGACGCTGGATGCCTGGGAGACGGAGAATGTCAAGGTGATGATGGAGCTGGGCAATGAGGTCGTCAATCGCATCTACGAGGCACGCATCGGTGACGACTGTGAGCTGAGGAAGCCAACGGAGCAGTGTGAGATTGGAGTGCGCGAGGCATGGATTAAGGCCAAGTATGTGGAACGGCGATTTGTCTGTGGCATGCCCAAGCCACAGGATTTGCTGGCCAGTGAAACTGCCGAGGTGCTCAGCATTGAAAGTGGTGGAGCGAAGGAAAATAATGAGGGCGATGGCGATGGCGATGGAGGTGGTGGAGGTAGCAGTGGCAGTGGCGGCGTCGGCCTCGGCGGCATTGGACTTCTTGGCAAGCGTGCAACTCTGTCGCTGGGCGGCACACGCAAGTGGACAGTAAAGAAGCTACGACGACGACGCCAGCAGCGACCATTGCCCAAGACCCTTAGCGATGATCCCAGCATATACAATTCAGCTAAAACTGGCGACGAACTGGACGATGATGATGACGACGAGTCCATAAACATTCCCTCAATGTCGCTGAGTATATCGCGCGATGATTTGATGGTCATTGGCGATGATCTGGCGTTGGATAGCTATGAGACGCCCGGCATCTTGGGCAGCGATCAGGAGAGCACTGAAGGCGAATCTGATGCGGAACAACCGGAGGAAGTGCCCTTCACCCAGCTGGATGCTAATCTCTTGCTGTACAAAGCATCCGTTGTGCATAATCTTCCCGTTATGTGCATGGCCTTTGCCTTGGGCGCCGACAAGCACTGGAAGAACGCGCAGGATCGTCAGCGTTCCTTTTTGCATCAGGCCGTGCTCTCCGGCTCAGTGATGGCTTGTGAGTATCTGCTGCTAAATGGAGCTGCCATCAATGCTGTCGACGAGCTTGGCTATAGTGCGCTGCACATATCCACGGCCAAAGGACACATTGCACAGGTGTATTTGCTGCTAAAGCATAAGGCAGCCTACGATCTGTCCTCCAGTGATGGCAAAATGGCGCTGGACATTGCCGTTGACCAGAAGAATGCGGATATTGTTACGCTGTAAGCCAAAGATTTATAACTATTTAAGTTGTGTGTGGTAAACTTATGTGCATCACTTTTGCAATGTTTTACAGTCTGCGCCTGACGCGCCTCAACGATGAGATCGGCTTCAACGATGAGTACAATGGCGAGGATGAGACCTACAAGGATGTAATGAAGGATTTCTCCAATTTTGCTGCGAGCCAGCCACGCATGTTGCGGCAGCGCAACGATTCCAATACGCTCGAATCGCAGCGCAGTTCGCTGACCAACTCCGAATAGCAGTGGGAGAGGGAGGCCAACCGGCGAAACTAACAACTTACTCGTTACAACAGATATTCCAATGTTTAGCTAAATGCTTTGTAAAATCGTCTGGCCTTTGTGCGCTATGCCGCTAAATGGTTAAACGGTTCATTTATGTGCTGGCATTTAAAGGAGGCGGCCAACTCAAATCTGTTTTAGACTATATGCAATCTCTTGAAAACGTCGCTTTTGATATTAATACATTGCATTTCAGTTTCGTATTTGGCTAAATGTTCTTTTTTTTGTTGACGTTTTATTTATTAAGCTTAGTTAGACAGTTGTAAGTGCAAGTTGCTCGTAATCCGTATAATAACATATATATATATATATTTATATGAATGTTTATTGTTTAAAAATGTTTAAATATATGTATGTACAATGTATTTGCCTAAAGCGTATTGTACAATTCTGTTATGTGTATTATATTAAACGATATTATAACTGTATGTATACCATATGTCTATGTAGTTAGCTATCTTATATTAAGCTACCGCATCATGTTGAAACTGTTCCAAATCTGTTCTTTGTTAACGATACACGTATATCTTGCGCATGGCTTGTCATCAAGTGTTTTTCGTGCTTTATTTCCACAGTTTCAAACCAATAAAGAAAATTGTTAAACTTTCGTGCCAAAAAAATTTAAATTGTGAGCTCTTGACAAAGAATTTCGAAAAAAATTGCAAAATTTGTGAAGACAAATTTGATTTAAATAATTAGCTAGTTCACTGTTTAAAATGTAATTAGATGCACCTATACTATAACTAGACAGCTTATTCAAACTCCGCCTCACTGGCATTGCCAACGATGGCTAACTCGGCACATTCATCCTTAATCTTGTGCACATTCTGCAGATGCCGCTGGACAGCGCTGCGATCGTTGAACTGTCGTCCGCACTCCTTGCAGGCGAACGTGACGCCCGCATGGGTCACCAGGTGACGACTGAGACCCGAGACATGATTGAAGCTACTCTTGCACAGGTGACACTTGTGCTGACGCTCGCCGTCCTTGCTGTGCATGCGATTGACATGCTGCTGCAGATTGGTCTTTTGCGCAAAGCACGTCTCGCACTGTGGACACTGATGCCGTTTGGTTCCCGTATGCCTATCCATGTGTCGCTTGAGCACTTCACGCTGCGAAAAGGACAAATCGCACTCATCGCATTTGTATGGCTTGAGGCCCGTGTGGATGATCATGTGACGCTTAAGCGAACTGGCACAGGATAACTGCAGATCGCAAACGGGACACCGAAGGGCGCCACCGTTGCCGTTCTTAAGCGCTTTGATATGTGTGCTGAGATGGCGTGACAGCAGTTTCTCTGTGGCAAACGCTATGGGGCACAGCTGGCACTGAAAGGTCTTCAACGTATCGCTAACACGTCCAATGCTCGGTTTGGTGCTGCGCGGTGCTCGCTTCAAGACGAAATCGTTCTTCGAACGTTTGACGGGAGTTGGGATATCATTGGTCGTCTTTTCGTTTGACTGCAAGCGGAAGATAAAAGTTGATAACAATATTTATCAATGTGAAGTAGTCAATGTTTTCCAATTTGACTACTTACCAATATGATGACATTGTCGTTGAACTCATACAGCTGCTGTTCGTCGCCAACATCAGCATGAAGATCAAAAACCACAACATCACCTAAATCCTCAGATTTCGCATCAGTAAACTGTATGTCCCCATTATCCTTAACTGTAGCAAAGAGAAAATATGAATTGGGTTAATGACGATTCGCGCAAATAAAGTGTAACCAAATGTTGCTCACTGTTGTAGGATGTAATGCTCTTATCCTGCCGAAATTCTATTGAGGATGTGGATGTGGGTGCCGTGGAGCCGGCATTAATAATATAGATTTCACCATTTTTACTGGTTACAATATCGCCAGCGCCGACCATTTTAATATCGGGGAAACCCTCCGAGGTATCACCCACCGAAATTTGATCCACTTTCGAATCGGTTTCCAGCACAAATTCCGTATCTTGACTTTCCGATAGTTTCTGACAACGCTTCAATTGAACGGTGGGCGATGAGTTACGTTCACGTTTGCGCAGTTGACGCGGCTCAATCGTTGGGCTCGGTTTAATTGCTGGTGTTGGTGCCGATGTTAGTGTAGGCGCTTCTGTTGGTGGAGATACAGGAAGCGATTGGCTATTGGCCTTGGGTTCAGGTGGCAGTTCACCGAGTGGCTGCCATAGACCCGATTTCTTTTCGACTAGAAAAACTTCAAGTTCACCCAAGAGTTTGGCAAGCTGTTCCTTGCGACTCTCCTCCTGCACCTCGTCGCGCAGTTGCAGACGCACATCGCTACGCACTTCCTCCATGAGCTGCTTGCGAAGATCACCAGTCAGTTGCTCTCGAGAGGCTTCGAGGCGACTGGCGAACTCCTTCTCTATGTCTTGCTTGTACTTTTTGCGCCACTTTTGCGATCGCTTGTCGTGCTCATCTTCCATTTGTTCTATGAATGCCGTGGACTCTTCGAACTCCAACTCATCCTCGTCCGAGTCATCCAACTGCTTGGCAAAGACCCGGCTCTTCTTACCCATGCTAACCAGGCGGATGTGCTTGCGCAGCTTCTTATCAGCCGCCTGGCTACGCTGACGAAAGACAAATGATTTTTCCAGCTGGTAGCGACAATCGCCGCATATCCTTTTCGGCAAGCCATCAGTTGACTTCGCCTCCAGCGAGAGGCAAGCCATCAGTCGCATCGGTATTGAGAGCTGTGCATCGTCGTCGGCGAATATGGTGTAGGCATCCTTGTGTTCGTTCAGGCAAAGGCGACACCACGCTTCTATATCTGGGTAAAATTCGTCCGCGTTAGACATTTCAAAGCTTGTAATTGCTATTTATTTATGTGCTGCACGCAACAACAACAGACGCCAAATTAACCAATTGAGCTGTTAGCCAACACTGAGTGCAGATGGTCACCCAAAGCATTTAACATTTGCCGAAAGTTATTAACAGCGTGAACTAGTTGTTCCTGAACTGTTCAACTTGATATCCGCCTTTATATATATTTTTTGTTTATCATGTTAGTACTAACAGCGAAAACTGTTAAAAATATCTATTTTTATGGTGAAAATGTACAGTCGCATCAGGTAGCCGTGCACGTTCCATTTTGTTTTTAAATTAAGATTAACATTGCAATCCGGCTATGTAAAAGCTACAGCCAACTTTTAGTGTTGTTCACAGTTCACATTTTGCGCGGGAAATGATTTGCAGGGTTGCAAAAGGCCGAAGCGAAGTGTTTAACAATCACAAAACTCAAATACCTCTATATTTGAAAAAAAAAATATTTATTTATTATTTATAGTGCATATGTATAAAAAGATTATTTCAGTTGTTGGTTTGTGAACCTCTCAGACGATATCGATAACAGTCTCGGCCTCGATCTTTTTCTTCATACGATTTACGCTGCCTCTTTATGTCAGGCATGTGCTGCTTACAAACTGTCTCTAGCCTGAAATTGTATGGAGAATCTAGTTTCCTAATTTTTTCACAGGCGATGCTTTTAAGCCTATCTACTTGTCGAGACATTATTTCGGACTGCTGAGTCCGCTCTTTGGTTGTAGTGCTTGCTGCCGCTGTGCCCGGAAGAAAATGTGTACTTTTTAGATCCTCTCGCAGATGACTGTGCTGTGCATTTTCCATGTTAATTTCAACCATTGCCAATGGCACATTTGTAGCAGGCTCAGCAACTGTTTCTTTATTGGATCCACCGCCCTCCGAGTTGACTGTGATCACTGTGGGTGTCTGGGTTTGCTGGATGGGTTCATCGTCTGAAATCGTTGTTGTTATGGTAACAATTAAATTCGAAAGCAAGCCCATTGAGCATATTTACCAATCACTTCTAGTATTGCCATTTCATTGGGATCCACATCTGCGTACTCTATGGACGACGACAATCCGACATCGCAATCATTTTGAGCTGTCTCCAGATCCGACACGAATCCATCTGAGCCGCAGGCCAGCTCACAAACCGTCTCGTTGCGTTTCTTAACAAAAAAGCTTTCCATTTCGTAGAAAAGATCATCCAACACGCTCAGACGGCAATCCTTTTTGGCTTGTGCAAGGATCAGCTCCTCCACTTCTTTACGCACTTGTTGCTCGATCTCCTCACGCACCTGTTGCTTGCATAGGCCAAGCAATTCCTTTTTGTACGCCTCGATCTCGCTGCGGATCGTCTGGACTGCCTCCTTGCGCCACAAAGCGTTGCTCTCCGAGCATACTGTGTTCGAACAGTGCGCAACATCCTTGAGATGCAGTGCCTCCTCGTCGTCGCCATAGCATTTTTGCTTATCTTTTGTTTCGCCGTAGCGTCTTAAATGCCTCAATCGGCGATCGGCTTCGTGGCAGCGTCTTCGAAAATAATGAAACTCCTCCAGACGCAGTCGACAAGCTTCGCAAATTAATTGCGGCAGTTTATCGTTGGAATTGACTTCGAGACCTGTGCATGATAGAATCCGTATGGCCGCTTGTCCATTAGATATCAGAAAGTTCGCATCCTTTGCTAGACACAGACGACAATTAGTTAACATTTCGCTACAAAAAAAAAATAAATGCAAGGACGCCTGCAAAAAGTGTGACCGTAGGCAGCCCACAGCAAAAATACTCTTTGCTGACTTTAAAAATACCAAAATAATCAATTTGGTTCTTTTCATGTGACGCGATTAATCGTAATAAACTGGGGAACGAAACAGAAAACGGTTAAAATTAGAAAATCAGAATATGATTTAAAAAAATCGGTTGACCAAAAATGTAGCATGTTTTTTGAAAAAAAAAAGTTTCCAAATGTAATTAATTTAAAGTAAAATGCAGAATACATGCCATATGCTATCAATAGATTTCTGGATCTCAGGAAGACAGCACAGTAGTACTGCCTATTTTCCAAGGAAACGAGGACGTGCTTTATCTGTCGATGAACGCGAATGTCATTCTGTTATTCTTTTTAATTTTTACAGAGATCAATGGTAGCGAATAGGGTTCTTCGAAGGTATCAGAACAACATGGAGATGCCTTAGATACCTGCATATGGATCAGATAATAACTTGACACATACGCATCCAGATCACGGCAGCAGTGGGCAGCAACAAAAGGGAGCAATTCAACTGGTTGGTGAAGCCATTTGTGAATTGATGAGCCTGGTTACAGGGTATTAGTTAAGTCACGCGGAGCAACATCTCTTTGAGGACGTTTTCTGATAATACTTGATATGGCATTTAATGCAAATAAGAACACATTCATATTTATGAAACAATTTTGTTATAATTCATTAAATATTAAGTTTAAATACGCAGTTAACTATTAAGTATTATATACACAATTACAATAAGATATTCAGTCACTATAATGCTTCTATATACACAAAATGATATACATACATATACATATGTAAATTATAAATGATATATTATATCCAATAATTTGAACTCACATCCGCACTTCAATAAATATGCATTAATATTTTAAAATATACAACAGTCGTCATAATCCTCGTTTCAAGAATTGGTTCATTTTTTTCCTTTTTCTTTTTCGTTTTTTTTTTTTTGGGACTTTAGGATGATCTCTGCCACGGATTGCCTACTTACAACTAAAATGTGTTCGTTACAAAAAGTCAAAGATACATTTTTTGTTTGCGTGTGTGTTTTTTCTTTTTACATATTCTCAACAATTTGTGTGTGATAAATAAATAGTATTGATCAGCATTAATCATAATTAACATTGAAATACAATAATTGTTTTTAGGCATACATATATATATATATATCTATATAGATATAGTACATACATAACTAGAAAATATATATTACAATTATTTGACGTCTACGTCGGCATATGTGGAACTGCATAAATGTGTGTGTGGTGGTGGGGTGGGTTGGCAATTGACTCCCAATACTGCTGCCCTAATCGTGACGCCAGCTCTGCGGCAGGACATAATCTTTAACCTTGTACAACGCATTCGCATACCAGTGCAAACCATTTTGCAGCTGCGCTGTTGAGTTCACCTTTGGCGTTGACTTCTCCTGCACCTTCGAGCTGCGCAGCTTGTCCTTCGCTGGCAGCCAGGATTGCAGTGTGCTCCATAGACGCATGGGCGCCAAGCCCCAATGCGCCAGCGATTGACTGCTAATCACCGCATAGCACGAGGCGGCCACGGAGTTGACCACAATGGTGCCCTCGCGGGTGAGGGGAGCAACGACGCCACGTCGACGCACGCTGCTCACCCGCAGGACACGCTGTGGGCGCAACTCGCCGCCCGTTGCATCATCTACCACCAACACATAGTTGAGCTCCTCGACATGATCGGCAAAGACAAAGTCGAGCGTTTGCCGCTCCGGCTGCCACACGGTGATCAGATGGGCAGGCGTAACGGTCAGCACGGCCCCGCCATCTGTGTGCAGCTGCACGAAGGTCTCCATCTGCTCCAGATTGCGGTCCATGAAGAGTATGACCTCGCTGTAGACGGCTTGCCCTTTGGCATCCATGCTGAGCACACGATCCCCAATGGCCAGTTCACCCAGCGGTTTCTTTGCGCCACTCTCCAGCTGCGCTGTGCTCTCCGGCGTGAAACAACCATGCACATGCGAAATCGAAGACGAGGAATCTGCAATGGCAAAGCGCACAAATTGGCATTGGATGGTTAGTTGAGTTTTTGGTTTCTTTACATTTCAAATGTTAATCCATAACTTTTCCATTTTTAAGACTTGTGGACTTAACGTACAAAATAAATAAAACAGAGAGGTGGGAACGGGGCCAGGTAATGGCATTAGTGCGCCTAATCTAATTTGGCGTTAATAATGCCCAGTCCCTGGCAGCGTCCAATTGCCAAAACCCAACAAGTCAAAAAGGTTTTCACAGTTAGGACTCGGTAACTCGGTAACCCAGACCCACAAAATCCAGCAACGAACAATGGCAACTGCCTTTTGCGGCTTTCAAACAAAAACCGCCGCTAAAAACTGCACGAAGAACGCACGAAAATGCGATCTGCCCAACTGATAGTCGTGCATATCAATAACATGCAACAACAGGAACAACAACAACAATAACAACTCAGACAAGCAGCAGCAGTGGCAAGCGAGGATGTTTTTGTTTCGAGTTTAACAAAATTGTGATCTTGTTTTTGCTTAAAGATTAGCCCCTGGGATCACAGAGCAGTGCGATTGAGCTCGAGCTCGAGCCAAAGCAGCTTAGCTTCAAATACACACACACCCAAACAGCCCAAGTGCCAAAGGATGCACATGCACAGGTCCTGTTCAGGTAGCCGTGACCCAAGGACCTGCCAACCTGTGCGCAAAATTCCAATTACAAAACATGTTGCAACCCACAATAACAACGGCAGCAGCAACAACCACATTAATCACCATCATTAATAGCTATTGGGTTACTCGAGAAGCAGGCGCTGGCAATTGGGCCACCCAGCCAGCTAACTGCTAACTGAAAATGTGGTTGTCGGACTTATTGTTACACTTGGAAAAACTGTAGAAAATCGTGAATCGTCGTTTGAGTTTTCACAAAAAAAAACAGTGGATTAATTTCGTGATTCCAAATCAGGCTTTTCTAAAGTTTGGAAAATAAAATTGATCCGGTTTTTAACCTTTATTGAATTGAAAAATGTTTGACAATCAAATAATATTAAAAATGTTCTATGATAATATTGTCGATCTTTTGACATTGATTGAAACGATTTATTTAGAGTTTATTTTATAAATGAATAAACAAATCGACATACAAAGAAAAACTTGCTGGTTTTCAGGTTGATTTTCTAAGTGTATTACACTTTTAGAACTTTCTTTTCGGCTGCTCTTGCGTCTCGCACATATTTCACACCCGAAGCGCCGCCCCATTGGTCTGGCTCGGCTCGGCCAGTTGTCGCTTGTAAAATTCAAATTAAAAAAATTCCAGGCCAACAACAACAATAAGCAACAACAAAAAGGCGACCACTAACCGTGCGCTTTATTATAATGAGTGGCCATAAAAGTGGCATTGTTGCTGTTGCGGTTGTTGCCGCGCAACCAAAATTCCAATGAAAATGCACCTACCATTTTCATTGATATTGATGCGTTTGGTAAACACAGGCGCAGAACCACACACACACACACACACGCACACACAATCATCAGACAGACAAGAGTGTAGAAACAATAAAAAGCGGATTAAATACAAGACAGCGGTCTATAAAGCGGTCCATAATCGATGCTCAGACGGGAGCAGCCGCCACAAACGGTAACCGTAGACAAAACAAAAAAATAAATAATACCAAGGAAGTAACGAAGTAACAAGCTAAACCAGGCAAGAAAATTTGGTGTGAAACCCACAAAAAAAAAAAGAAAAAAAAAACGAAAAAAAAAAAACAGAAACAGAAACAGAAACATAATAAATGTATGTGTGCAAGAGAGATACAGAGAAGTGGCGAGAAAAATCTCAGGCAAGGTTCGCCGTCGTCGTCGTCGTCGTCGGCGGCGAGTGGAAAGTGAAGAACTTGAAGGGTCATAAATTAATAAACCATTAAAGTGGTTAAAATTATCGTTATTTTATCTTTGTTGTGAAGACTAAACTGATAAATTATTACAAAACAGAGGACAGCCAACAGACACACACACATACACACACACACAGTGACACAGACACGCACACACCGAGGGTATATGACTAGTTATGGTGACTGATCGCTTGGACAGCATTAACATGAACATGCAGCACACACAGCGGACAACAGGCAACAGACAGCAGACAGCAGACAACACGACAACAACACGCTTTGGGGCTGGCCTTAATGCGCGCGCGCGAACGCTCGCGACACAACAACAACAACAGCAACAATGACAACAACAACATCCACGAAACGTACAAAAAAGAGTGAAAAAAAATTAGTGTCGACAAAAAGGTTTACAGCCATTACTCTTCGTTGCTGCTGCCGCTGCTGCTGTTTAGGCCACAAACAAAAGACTTAGGCAACGAACTGGAGACACCGTGAAAATGCTGTGCCAAAACTGTCAAAAGCGTGTGAGTGTGTGTGTGTGTGTGGCTTATGTGCGCTTTGCCTATCAGCAATCAATCGCCTGGTTACTTATTAATAGCACCAGCAACAGTTGCAAGTTGCAGCACATGTCGCAAGGACCACACACGCACACACCTACGCACAATTATCCTTGGCAATAGTCCACTTGTTGAGCATTTGTCGGCTTTGGTGTCTGACCTTTTTGATATATTTCCAAGGCGAATAGCCAATGACAGTGAAAAGGACCTTTTTATGTCGGCATCTTTTATGCGCAATTAGAAGCAATGAGTCTGACAGCGCAAGGACACTCGCTGGCCCCGGTCCTTTGATCTCGTTTTGTGGGCCGGCCACTAAAGTCAAAATATTGTGATGCCCATCCTCGTGTGTGGTGCTGGCTGCCTTTTTGTTGCCATCCTTTGTTTGTGTGGGAAATTTCCTAGTCATGGTGTAATATTCAGTGGCTAGTTAAGAAAAACGGAATCACGTTGCCAAAATGCCACTCATTGCTCTCTCTCTCTCTCTCCCTCTCTCTATATCTCTCTCGGTCTCTCTCTCTCTCTCTCTCTCTCTCTCTCTTGTTGTCGCTTATTCTCTTAGCCAGAAAACTTAATTGTTTTGGCCTTTTTGGTTGGCTAACTTTGGTTGCATTTTCTCTGGCTTTTTGGGCTCTTCTGGTCGTTTCGTTATGTTTCGGGGAAAACTGGTTGACTGCCATAATGGCAGCAAGTTATATACTCACACACACACACACACACACTTACAGTGTTGCTAACTTGTTGGCTCTTTCAGTTGTTTTTTTTTGTTTTGTGTTTTTTTTCAATTAGGCCCGCGCGCAGGTTTTAACTCGGCATTTAATTCATCTTGGCCTGGCCTGAGAAACGCTTTGGGTGTCGTATCATCAATTCGTTTAATTTGACAGGCGCAAACCTAAACATGTCAAAACAACAACAACAACAGCATGCGGTTAGTCGTCGTCGTCGTCGTCGTCGTTTGTGGATCCGACTCTCGACTCTCAGGCTCTATCTCCTCTGGACTTGGGCCGGTTTCGAAAATGTTGCCGCTGCTTCCCATTTTTTGATATATATATATATATATATATATATATATATATATATATAAATATATATATTTTTTTTTTCTGTCTTCTTTCTTTCGTTTCTTGTTTGTGTTGTTGTTTTCTGTTACCACACGATCGCACTCGAAATAAACGAGCCGAGTCTCTGCAGTCTGCCAGCTTGGCCAACTGGGAAACTGCAGCTTGGCTAATTTGACTGGGCTGCAAAAAAAATTTGCCAACGCCTGTCAGCTTAGCGGGCCGTTGTATGTAGCATGTTGGGGAAACATGTGAAATTACGCTTGTTAGTGTCACTTCTGGCTAACTGGCCAGCCCCATTGCCATTTTGGCATTTTACATGCCACAACGATGCACACACAATATATATATATATATTTATGTATATATACATATATATATAGTTATGTATGTAAAATGACAAATTACCTGATTTGACGGAGCAGTAGATGTGACGGCGACTCACATACGAAACCCAATCGAAGCCAGCCTCGACGGCTAAGCGTGCTAGCATTCCATATTTGGATTGATCGCGATCTGAGGTGGCAATCGTCACCGCTCGTCCCTCGTAGTGCAGTGACTGCTCGCCGTGATGATGATCCTCGTCCCAGCTCTCGGTCACCAGCAGCTTGACGCCGGGCCATTCGTTCATCACAGAAGTGGCCAGCATGACCAGTTTCTCTTTGCAGCGCTGCAAGTGGAAAACAACAAAATGTTAAGTACAAAATCAATTAAACATTGGAAATTGTTAATAGGGCGGACGCTTCAACGGCTGCTGTAAACAAAAACCAAAAGACAAAAATACACCAACAACAATAACAAAAAGAAAACGCCATATTTAACACACACACACACACAATAAGCCCAAGCCAAAGAGCGAGAGAGGGCGTAAGTGAGCGGGAGAGTGAGACAGAGAGCGCTGGCTTGCGAGCGGGAGAGCATACTAGCTGTGTGTGTGTGTGTGTGTGTTGAAGAGGCGTGGTATTTAGGCATTCATTTCGTGGGCTGCCCAAAAGGGCCAGCGTTCATTTTCAGTTTTCAGTTTTTCTCTGCTTTTTTTTTTATATTTTTTTGGGAGCGCAGCGCTTGAACGAATAACTTAAGCGACGAACTTGGCCATCGAACGTTGCTTGTTTTTGGCCGCATCCTTTGAACCTGTTGCGACTCAACCTCAACAAATACATGAGTCTGACTATTTTGCTGTGTGTGGCTCTTGTTTGCCTTTTCCTTTTTTTTTTTTTTGGTGTTTGTGTGTTTGTCGTTGGCCAAAGCAACGGCAAAAGCAAAGGCTTAGTTTTTATTATTTGCCCATGCACAGATCAAACACTGACCCAGAGCCCCTGACCCTCGTACATGCATATATAGGTAAATATTAAAGATTAGACATTGTCTGACCTTTTTCTCCTTTTCATTTTTTTTTTTTTCCCTTACACTTGTCTTGCTTGCCAATGCGGTGGATACTAAATAAAATTCCATATGCATATATAAATACAGGTATACAATTTGTTTTTTCTTTTCTTTTTTTTTTGGTGTCGGCGGGTTTTTAGTTAGTTGTTGTTGTTGTTTTTTTTTTTGGGTTTTTACTCTGTTGTTTTTCTTGCTTTTAACGCATGCATACAAAAAGAGGAAAATGAAAGGATTCGGCGGCAGTGCAAATATTGAAATTTAATAAGACAACAAACCGAAAGAAAAAAATTGAGTTCCCAAAATACATAAGAAGCAGGCAAAGAAGAAGAAGAAGATGAACAATTTTGTCATTGCATGACGCGCAATCGCCCGGCCACAAAATCAATTATTAACGGCCTCGGGATCGCCAGCACACACAGGATGTGTGTGTGTCTGTGTGTGTGTGTCAGTGAGTGTGCTGTTGCCTTTTGTGTGTGCAAACATTTGGCACGCAGTTCTCTAGCGTGGCGTAAAATCAATTTTCAAGATCCTTTTTAACAAGCCACAACAACATCAGCTTGCCACCAGACTGATGAGACTTTTGGGACTTTTGTTTTGATTTTGGGTGCGCCGCATTGTTTGCTGCTGCTGCTGCTGCTGCTGTTTGTTGTGCTGTTGTTTTGGCAAGCAAATCGGTTTTTAATTTGTCACACCACAGTTTCTCTGACTGCAAAACGAATTGGACAGCAGGACCAGAACCTCTGGTTCCAAATACAAACAAAAAATGGCATTCCAGGAAGAGAGTTCAATGCTATTTGCATATAAGCTATAGATACATATATGTATGTTGAACAGCTTTGCTTTATTAAAAGGCTTAACCAGTCGAGTGCTCAACTTGCTGCTGCTAATGAGCGCAAAAGCGTAACGCCAACAACAGCAAATAATAAATTCAGCCATCCAGCCAGCAACATCAACAGCAACAAGCAACAGCAACAAGCAATGCAATCTTTGTCTTAAGGCGTTGTTTACCCAACATGCTAATGCATTGGACTCTCGTTTGCTTGATCGAACCCCGATGCACAAACAACAAACGTGGCCCCAGCACAAGTAGAAAATGCCGACGGGTGCGTAAAATAAACATTTAAAAGTAGCAGCAACGGCGGCATTGCAATCGCAGTCGCCGTCGTCGGCGGCCCAAAAAGATGGCTAAATAATGTGTTTGTATTGTAAGTGGCATGGCTGTTAGACAACACCAACAACAACAGCAACAACAGCGCAACAACATCATCAACAGTACTATGGACAAGGGTAAATAGGCGAGTGCCAGTTGCCAGTTGCCAGTTGCATGCAACGGCATATGCACATACTACTTCTTAAGTACTTATACCAAGAAATAGAAGAAAAAAAACACACACCACAAAAAAAAGCTGCCTGCATTAATTAGACATTAAAAACAAGGTGTGAACTTTGGCAGCTATGGCCACGCCCCAAACTTTCGGCCAATTTGTTTACACAGCGCATGCAAAGCATTTGAAATTTGTTGTCTTGTTGTTGTTGATGATGCATTTTTTTATTTTCGGTTGTCTTCCTTAAAACCTTTCAACGCCAAGTTGGCTCTTGGAATGTAGTAAAGGTCGCACTGATGCGTTTTTAATTGCAGTTATATTGATTTAAATCGTCTGCAAGCTGCCAATTTGACGCTAATGGCATGCATTTAGGCAACGTCGCGAGAAGCGCCAAGTTAAATTACCAGGCGCTCATCATCATTAGGGGAAGTCAAGCAAAGATGTGCTTCAACATATGCATGTACATATTTAAAAATGCTATTAAAGTCAAGTCTAATTCGGGCTTTGTTTGCTTTAGCAGCAGTTCTTGCCAGTTGCAAGTTGCAAGTTGCAAGTTGTTGCAGTCTCCGATTACGCTTGGCCAACGATTAGGAAACGACACAATTTAACGACATAATTCAAGAGCGCATCAAATTACGTACTGAGTCGAGTCGAGTTGAGTTGAGTTGAGTCGAGCTGAGCTGAGAAATCACAGTCACCCTTTATTTTTTTGTTTTTGTCGATGAACACGTGACCGTGTGTGTGTTGTAAGCAGATATGGGCATATCCTTTCTTGATTGCGATCGAGGAAGCGAAAACTTACAACTGAGGAAGCAGCTTGGCGGCAATCACCCTCGATTTATACAGGATATCGGGCATATCACCCACTCGTCCACATACAGGCCCTAACATGCATATATGTGTCAACAGGAGCAGCAGCAGCAGCAGCAGCAGCGGCGGCCACTTGAGCGTGCCACATTTTGTGTGGCAAGCACTTAGGGGCAACTTAAGTTTACTTCTTTTTTTTCTCGTTTTTTTTTGTCAAATCAATCAGCGCCCAGCGCGAGGTGAGCCGCTGTGTGTGGGCTGCCCTCCTCGAGAGCAGATTTCCTCACTTAATTGGCAAAAAAAAAAGGGCCGCCATAGTTCCTGATTGATTCAAGTACCTTTTGATGAGCTGCTGATCTGTTGGCCATGTCAAGATCAATGTGGCCATTACCATTGCCAGACGCGTTGACGACAAAAGGCGACCATAAAATGTTACTTTGCTCTTTTTTTTTTTCAAAAATAGTGACTCGCTTAGCCAATTTGTTTATTTGTGTTGCAAATCTATTCACAGCTCGGCATTTTTTTCCTCTCTTTTTTTGTGTATTTTTCCATTAGAAAATGGAATTTTTGTTTATCATTTGAGTCGCCGCTGATTTTTTCATTGTTTATGCTTTTTATGTGTGTGCAGCGCAATTATTACAGCGCAATTTTCAAACTGTCTCCCTCTCTCCCCCTCTCTCTCTCTCTCTCTCTTTGACGGCCTGGCTTGGTTTGTTTTTTAATTAACAAACTCAATCAGAATTGAAATTCAAGTGAATCTTCGACTACGCCTTTTGCCTTAGTCATTTATTTGTTTGATTGTTAACCGTATTGCTCGTCTGCGAGTGTCGCCTGTGTTTGGTTATTTTGTGATTGTTTCAATATAAATTGATACTCATTAAAATGCTCTGCCAGGCTGGCTGGCAGACTATCGGCCTTACTGCCTTTTTGGCGGTGGCTTATTGGATTAATGCCAGCGCTTCTGTTGCCCCTTTTTTTCAGCTTGCTGCCCCTGATTAAGATTGCATCTTGTCGTGCCACCAAAGAAAAGAAATCGAAATTTTGGTTGGTTTTTTGCCTTTGTCTCGATTTGAATCGTTTCAGTTTCGCTTGTTTGTTTTGGCAAGCTTATGGCTTTTGTTATTAATTATGCCGCATTTTGTTTTCTTTATTTTATTTTGTAGGGAATCACGAATGCGACTAACTTTTTACAAAAGCAAAGTAGAAATAACTATTAATGATTAGTCGGCATTTAACAATGTAATCTTTACTAATTATTGGTCTGTGTTCATTTCAACACCAAATGGTCGGCCACAGTCAGTTGGACAACTTTTCAAGTTAGTCACTTGGCCAGTCAGTCAGTCAGTTGGTCAGGTAGTCAGTCAGTCAGTTAGTCAGTCAGTTAGTCAGTTAGTCAGTTAGTCAGTCAGTTAGTCAGTCAGTTAGTCAGTCAGTTAGTCAGTCAGTTAGTCAGTCAGTTAGTCAGTCAGTTAGTCAGTCAGTTAGTCAATCCATTTCCATGGACTTGGCTAACGCTCATAAATCTGACGTCAAATAAATGTCCATAAAAAGGCGTCATTTTATTGTTATTAATTAAACGCTATTAATTTGAAGAAATCGTAAATTAAATCTTGTATGAAGCTCTCACATTTAATGCCCCCACACACATAAAAGCACACACACACACACACACACTCATACACACACACACACTGAGAGTCATTTGGACAGGTAAGTCGCAGGCAGCATTTCGAGACTCCGGCGCAACTTAAATGATAAGCGCCATAATCCCTGATGTGTGATTAACTTTGATGATGAGTTATGAGCCGCACATTGGCACTGATGTGATGCCGTTGTTACCGTTCACCCCTCTCGACCTTTGCTCCCCCCCGTTCGTCAGCTAACAGCCGATCCCCCAAAAAACCAACAAAAAAAAACAGCCTAACCCGATCACGTTTGTCCTACCCCAAGACGCAGCCAGATATGACTTGCAGGAATCTGGTCGCCGCCACATGTGAAATGTGAGTCAGTCGCGTCGCAGTCGTAATGTGATAGCCAAGATGCGATGCGATGCGATGCGATCCCCATCCCAATCCCAGTTCGAATCCCAAATCGCAATACACGAGAGAAGATCGCGATCGCGAGTGGTTTGCCTTCTTCAACTCGTGCTCCGTGTGCAGTTCATAAAACTTGTATGCAAATAAAGCAAAAGACTCTGCGACAGGCATTTTAGGGCAATACACAAATCCTTGGGAGATTCGCGCTTGAGTGCGCTCGTAAAAGTATCAAATTGATTAATAATAATATAAAAGCTTCCCAAAGCCAAACAAACAAACTATAAACTCAAACGCGAACTGGCAAATGTGTTTGTGTGTATGTGTGTGTGTGTGTGTGTGTGTGACTGTGTGTGTGTGTGAGAGACTTGGGGTTTCATCAACGATTTGTCCACTTTGCTTGAGTGATGTTTGTTTGATATGTTTGATTACTTTGTAGCCACAGAATATTCCCACGAATTTGTGCCAAATATTTTTGCTTATCGCAGCATTTGACGTGATTTGATTTGAGTGAAGAGAAAATAAATAAAAATCAATAAAATATATATATACAAACTGAAACTCTGACATCATCGGTGCGATCTGCTTTTTTGTCTTTGTCTGTGTGTCATAATAGGATCAATTTTGACTCATAATGAATGTCAGTGTTCTATTAATAATGCCTTCAGCTGTTGCTGTTGCTGTTGGGTTATCTTTGATTTGATGCTGAATGCTTGATGCTTAATGCTTGATGGCTGTTGTCCATGTCTGGACCAAAGCGGGGCACAGATCAGCTCCGGCTCTGAGTAGGGGTATGGCTGATGCTACTGCTGCTGCTGCTGTTGCTGCATGCATGTCAGTAATCATATCAGATTACCATTGGCTTTGCCCCATTGTTGCTACAATTTATGAAATTTTAGAACTTATGCTGCGGCTTTTTGACGCATTCTTTGTCTGTGGCAGCGGCGATTGCTGCGGTTTCTCCTGCTGGCGATGCCATTTGGCTTACGCTTCAGGGCTCAACTTTGTCTAATCTTGTGGCATGTGTGTAAGGCTGGGGGCCAACAGCCACTACATGCATACTCAAGTAAATATGTACATGCGTCAATTACCTGATGAGCAGCAGCAACAACAATGACTGTCATAAGCTATTAAATTTTATGATTCAACATTTTGTATTTTTAGCACTTTACGCCAATATGCAATAATTTGTTTATGTTAAAAGCCCCTAAATACATGCATACATACACACATACAAAGGTGCAAAGTGAAAACTACAAAATGTAGCTGCAATTTTTCGTTTTGGCGCTTTAATAGCCAAAACGAATTGCTTACAACCCGATTCACGCACAGCAGCAAGTCCCAAAAACGTTGCACATAAAATAAAATTTCGTTGCGCTGCTGGGTCAGGGGCAACAACCAAAAAAAAAATATAATACAAGAAAAAGAAATATTCAAAAATTGAGTGCATTTCCGTCAATGTCACAACGGTAGCTGGAAGAAAAACAGTTGTAAATGTTTGTGTGTGTGTGTGTGTGTGTGTATGTGTGACAATGACAAATCGAACGTTTTATGTGCAGCACGTCCTTGGTCCTTGCTGCTGCAGACATTGGCCTTGAAGCTTCACTGTCCTTGACTGTGTTAACGGCAATTGCTGCTGTTGCTGCTGCCGCTGCTGTGTGCTGTGAGCTGTGTGCAACTGTTAACTGTTTGTCAGTTCTTGCCAACACATCAATTGCATTACAAACTCAAGGTCTCACTACAATTGAAGTGAATCGATTTTTGTTTCTTGGCTTCGGGGCGCGTGTCAGTCATAAAAATGAGTTGAAAAATCATTTGCAAAATTGTAAGTCCCGCCAACTGGCAACTGTTATTTACAGCCAATTAATTTCTTAACAATCATGATTCACAAGCATAGCGAAAATTTAATAATATAATACATAAAATAATGACAGAAAACTCATAAACATTATGCAGCCAAAGGCCTCCGTAAGCGTGTAAAAAATCTATCATTAGCCATAATCTATTACACACACACACAGTGTTAGCTTGTAGTAGTGGCTAGTCAGCGCCTTATCAATATACAAATTCCTCTCAAATTCCAAATGAAATTCATTAGCACCTAACACATGTATACAATTATATAAGCTCACCTGTCTGATAGCAAAAGGGAGTTAAATGTTTGCAATACCCCTGGCAAATTACAGTGATCATTCGCAAATTCGAATTTTATATTTAATGCATTCAAATTGACGATTTTAATTTCTAAACAATTCTAATTTTTAAGATACCATTTCTCAGCGAAAATTTTTTATATTTCTATTAAATAAGTTTGTTAGAAAATTTAAAACGTTTTCAAAATAATATGTTAAAAACTCAAGAAGTAAAAATACGTTTTAATCAAATTAATTAATAAAGTAAAATTTGAAAATATCTGGTAATTATGAGCATTTTCTATTTATTATAGACCAATTGTGAATATTTTCGATATATTTGTAATTTTAAAATATATTAAGTTAAGTTTCTACAATTCAAAGTTGTGAAAGTAACATTTTCTGAGAGATGACTGTATTAGCTTCACAATTGGCAAATTGGCTTTCACGACAGTTGTTAACTAATTTGCTGGTGCTGGTGCTGTCGCAGTCATTAACCACTTGTCACACTTTAAGATATCCACTGCACCCGCTTCAACCGCTTCAGCCGGTGCACCCAGCTCCACATCTCCCCACCTGCTGCTCGCAAATATTTTTGCAAGTTTCGGTGCGATAAGATAAATCGCACGGTTGCTGCTGCTATTACCGCTACCCGCTATAATTATTGCCAATGGCTTAACACGCATTTGTGTCAACGATTACTCGCATGTTTGCATGGGACTCTGTTATCACCTCGGCCAATGCGATAAGTAATAAAATGTTCGCGTGCCGCTTCCTCTGCCATCAGAGCAAAGCAGAGAGGGGGCTTGCAGAGGGGTGGGTGGCGGCTGTAGGGTGCAAGGTGTAAGGTGTGTGCTGAGCAAGCATTGCTCATTTGATGCCTATTTGTTGTTTATCGCAAAATCGAAAGCATTTTGATCCCAATATTGATCTATGTTTATAAATTGATCGGAAGGTGGTTGACACGAACACATTTAATGGCTTAAGTATATAAAGCTTTTGCGAAAATTCATTCAAAAATGTATTGATTTTGTTCAGTTGATAATACAGTTTACAATCAAATTCACAATATTTTTATTTGCTGCCCATTTTATGGCCATAACTTGGGCAAAGCTAAAAACTGTTGAGCACCACTCCGCCACATTTGGTCATAAATTTTACAATTATAATAATAATGCTCGTGCGACTTTATCAATGGGAATAGGGGCAACACACGATTCCATTTATTATCAGATCGATTATCAGATGTCCAAGCAAACAAGCGATTAGCACGCATAATTTAGCAATTCAAGTGCAATAAAATCGTGCAAAAATAAAATGTTTATTTGTAGCTCAAAAAAACAAAACAAATTTTTTTTATAGCTTAAGTGGAGACTTACCTTGGTCATCATACGATCGGCGCCGGTGCCCTCCTCATCTCTGAATAGTATATCACTGTTGTAGAGTGGCACTAGATCCTTAAATTTGGGTGACTTGCGATCGATGACGCCCTCCAGTGGACCCGAGGCGCCGCTCTGATATTCCGATAGATTTGGCACCGTCTGCTTCAGCACAAGCGGATACAGATTGCGATCCCTGCGCCGTCCCAATCCCCGACCCGGTCCGCAGCTATGTGCGTGCCGAAAGTTCAGCGCCAGCAGTAGCAGCAGCAAAAGTGTCATAAAACAGCTGCCACGCGGCGTATGAGCAATGTGCCGCAGTTTGCGAGGATCAGTCTCGTTTGTCATCGGCGTCGCTTGTGATTGGGTCCTGGCCTGGCTATCGACATTGGCATCACTGCAATGTCGTTTCACATCCAGCGACAGACAGGTGGCACTGGCACAGGACCACAGAGCCGATACCGCTTCGTTATCCATGGTTATGTGTAAGGTTTGTTTATGTTTTTTTCTTTAATATTACAATTTAATGCGTTGTGTGGTTTTTTGATTTGATTTGAATTTTGATTATGTGTTTCTTTATTTTTTTGTTGTTTTGTTTTTTTGGTTATTTAGCACTGCACTTGATTCACTGATTTAGATGCAAAGCGTTGAGAGGCAATCGCAATCGCAGTCGATCACAGCGACTGGATCTCTGGCACTTGACGTCGTTTGTTTTGTAGTTATTTAGTTAATTAGTTTTTCGCCACAAGCAAATAAACAAAACATTTTTATATTCTCCCTAGCACTGTATACATTTGATATTTAATTATTATTCTATTCGGCTATTATTATTATTATTTTTATTATTTGTTTTTTTTTTTTAATTCTCCAACTCAAATAAAATTTTTTTCCAATTTCTAAATTGCTGCGGCGTTGGTCAAATGGAGTTCAACAACAAACAGCAAAGTATTTCGGTCTTTGCAACAAAAACGGACAACGACAACCGCTGCGCTCGCACTGTGATTGACAAATGACATATCCGAGCGCACGAAACGAAGCCAGCGGCCGAGCGGAGCGAGTACCGAGTTTGTACGCCAAGTACCGAGGGTGCTTTTGCAAGAACCCTAGGCATCGCAGTCGCCGTCGCAGTCGCTGTCGCAGTCGGCGTCGTTGCCGTCGCAGCGCACACACACACATCGCAGTCGATATGCGCACGCACACAAGCGTATCGCGCGTTCATTCGCTGTGCGAGTGTGTGCGTGTGCCGCTCATTGGACCTAAGCTCGACACGATCGTTTATGGCGTTCATTTTTATGCTGGCTCGCTGTGTGGCAGTGTGAGCGAGACGACTATACTGTCGCATTCGACTCTTGCGCGCACACACACACACTCGCACACACCATAGATTGGTCTTATGTACTTATGCTATGGGCAACAGATGTTGGAAGACGGTTCATTATGGCCATGGCCAGCTCTCTGTGTTGCCAATTGGATGCGCCTGTGTGTGTTGCTGTGTGTGTGTGTGTGTAAGTGCTGCTGCAATTTCTCTTAACACTTGCACTATTGACTCGCAATCGACTCTTGTGGCTTGTTAACTGCCGCCTGCCGCATGCCGCCTGCTGCCTGCTGCTGCCTTCTCTCAGCCTTCTGCTTCTGTGGCCGCGTTTGCCTTGCTTTGCTTTTTGCTTTTTTGCGCATTGTTCACCTTTTGCCTTTCTTCATTTTTGGCTTCGCTTTATTGCTTGTAAATTAATAATGTTCCGGTTTTTTGTGTATTGTGCGCTTCAGTTTTGCTCGCCTTTTGCCTTTGCCTGCTGCTCTTGCTGCTGCTACTTCTTCTTCTTCACTTACACATATAGACATGCATATATATATATATATATATATATATATATATAGATATAATATATATATATTTATACATACATAGTACTACTTAGTTTCAGTTGCTCGCTGCCGCCAACGCTGCTCACTTTGTCATTACACCATTTTGCTGCTTGTACCAGCCTCTGATTCAGTCACCCGGCTTCCTTCTCGCTCCCACGCCCCTCCCGCACTCCATCACGTTGGCGAACAGCAACTTCCGTTGGCGCTGAGACCCTGCTGGAACGATCTGTAGGGCTCTCCACAGCGCTCACAATCAGTCAGTTAGTCAGTCTACTTAGGGCTATGATGAATATCAAAGCAATCACTTTGTTGCCGTATCTTATACTTAGCACACCATAATAATGAAGCTTTATATTATTTTTAGTTTTTAATTGAAATTATTTACATAATTGCATTGAATTTTTATTTATATGCTAATATTAATTTCAAATCAAATAATTTTCATTTTAATATGTCAAATGTAATGATTTAGCTATTCAAATTTAAAATAAATATTTAGCCAAGTATTACTTAATGAACAGATTACAATGTCATCTTAACTGATGTAAATATTTAAGTTATTTATTTCCACATCCACATCTCAGATGTATTCAGTGAGCTTCAGAGTTTAGGAAGGCCCTTAACTCTTATATATGTGTGTTTGTGCGAAATTTCTAGATAAGATACTTGATAGGATGTTTGACTAATAATAGTGATTATAGTTGTTATATATAAGCACATATAATTATATGATTTCCTGCGCTATTATCTTGCCAACGCACTTGTGCGAAATTTAAGTTCCTTTTGGTCACGAAACTGATATCAACTATAAAGATAAAAGTAATCGGCCGATACGGCACATATCAATAACAATTTGCAACTTCGCACTCGACAAATATCGCGCAAAAAAATATCTCCGGATTAGCTGTGCTCCACACTCTTCAAAACGTGTACCTAAATGTGTGCGTGTGCGAGTGTGCGAGTGTGCACAACAAATTGAGTGACAAAGTCAACCAGATGCAAATGGGACAACAATAACCACAAATATGCACTCACACACACCATAGTTTATTCTATAGAAATTCACACAAAATGTATTTGTATGTTTTGCTTTTGTTGTCATTGTGTTCGCTTGTTTGCTTGGCTACTTTGTTTAACCATGTTTTCTTTTTTGCCAGAACATTCTCACATCGCTGAAGTTTCAACACGTTGCAGGCAACAACTCAGCTTCTACCAACACCTATATCTATATATCTGTATCTGCATCTGTTTATGTGTCTTGGCTCACCCCCGCCTTGTTGACAATGTTGACTTTGTCACTTATAAAGCGCGAGCACGCTTGTATTATTTGACTACAAAATTGACACTTGATATGCCATCGGAGGGTCTGATATGTGTACTGATTTATTGGAAGTTAAAAAAAAGCTGTTCACTTTACGAGTCTAGTATGTTTGGCGCTAAAAGCTTGCGATTTGTCTAAAGTGCACCTGCCGCAACAGTAACTGCTGCAATATAACGGTTTCTAATCAGCCAAGACAGCTGCTGAATACAATGCGATATATATATGTGTGTGTGTGGATGGCAGGCGGACATAATGCAAATGCAAAGCGTAGCATAATTTCAATAAGAAAAAATAATAATAAAAATTGAATAGTTGGCGGCGTAGCGGCAAAGATATAAGCAAAAGCAAAACGCCATCAACAAGATACACGGAACCAAATTAAAGATGAAGAAGCTGAGCCAGCGGCTGTGGCAGCGGCTGCGGCAGCGGTGCGGGAGCGGGAGCGGCGAATCCAGCAGCTGGAGCAGGGGCAGTGGCAAAGGCACAGACGAAGGTAGCAACAGTGCTCAGCTCTCCCAGTCCAAAGAAGCTGAGCCAGCAGCCAACGTTTATACACAAATACATCCACATATATATATATATATGGATATATATATATATATATATATATATATGTATAATATAAGTATATATGCTCGTATCTCTCTCTTTAAGTACTGTATATGTGTGTGTTGTCTATGTGCCTGCCACATAAATTTCTTGTGGCTCATTATGTGCGCTGGTGTGAGTGTCTCGTTGTGTCTGCCTGTGTGTGTATGCCTCTGTGTGTGTGTGTGTGTGTGGGGCGGAGCTGCTTAAGGCGCTCATTTGTGAATGAACACCGTCGTGAACTGGCAGCGCAGAGAACTCTGAACAAGGCAACGATCGCTGGCATCGCTGGGATGCCAAAAACTTAATGAGCATGAATAAATGGCAGCAGCAGCAGCCGACTCTGAGAACCAACAACTAACTGAGCGATGGAGAGCGAACAAGCGCAGTTAATAATGTTGAGCATTGCTTTGGAGATGGTTTTCTTTTTTGCGTTCGATAGCCAGAAAAACAAAAGAAAAAACAAAGAAACAAAGTCAAAAAGAAATATTTTGTATAACTATTGCGATAAGAAGCGACAGATTAGTTTTGTAATTAGATTTTGGGCATAGATTTATGTTAATATTAATGGACAGCTTTTAATGTAAGTTATAAACCAAAAGAGACTTTTAATTTTGGCCTGCCCAGGCCAAACACTCAGCTTGGCGGCAAACATCCAAGCTGCTGCAGTCCGCCAAGATGCTGCGTTTAAATTCCAATAGAAAACCGGAAATGCTTAGGCCATTCAACGTCGTCGTCGTTGGCGTCGTCGTGCATTGTTGCCATTGGAAAGAGGCTGAGACAGCGCCAGAGTCAGAGTCAGAGCCAGAGCAAGAGCAAGAGGCAAAGACGCCAGCAGACAGAGGCATGGAACGCCATTTTCTACTGCTGCCTCTTCTGTGGCTGTGGCTGTTGCTGCTGATGCTGCTGCTGCTGCGTTCGCATCCAACGGCGTCGTCTGCTTTTAATTTCTTTTAATGGAAGTTGTTAACATGGCTGCTGGCTGGCTCTCTGCCTCACCGCCTCGCTGCACAGCTTCCCATACCCATATACCCATATAGCCATACCTATAACCATTCCCATACCCATTCCCACCAACGCCATCGCATTGGCTTACTCACTGCCTGGCCAGGTCTGGTCTGGGTTACGGTTTTTTTTTATTTTTTTTTTTTGGATTGCTCTTTTTTTTTTTTTTGGTTTTCGGCGTTTCGATCATAAGACCTCGATATTAAACTTGTATTTTTGATGCCCATTGAAAGTGCAGGGCAACATGATTATGGGAAAACAACTTGCCATACCCGAGAATAGGTGCTCAAGCTTACTTACGAGCAAACAAAATGTGTGCTTTGTATCACAAACGAGCCTTGCAACACTGAGAATTGTGTATCTTTTTCTGTGTGGTATACATTTTGCGCAATATGGTTTTTAATGGTCTATTAATATTTACAATGTAAAAGTTACACAAAATAAATTTGCGAGTGATGACAGCTTTAACTTAATTTATTATATTGATTTAAATACTATATATGATGGATTTCTTTTATGTTTGCATTAATTAGGCATTTAGAAGCGTTGAGGCTTAAATGAAAGTGCTGTATCTACAGTTTTGCAAGTGATTTCCCATAACTTATCTTTGTTAGCTCATCAGATGACTTTCTTTATTTCTTAAAATATTTGGTAACATAAGTTCAATGAGAAAATGTTCCTTTGGTTTACAAGCTTTGAGAAAATAAAATGTATTTATAATTAAATATCAATAAATTATAATTTACAAATTGTTAAAAATGTTTAAATATCATATATGTATTATGTAAGAACATTATATTCTTGATATATCAAAACTCCTTGAACATTTTTTCTATATATACTTTTTTTTCTGAACATTTTTATGAGCGACTGTAACCTTCGTCTGATTTTTTTCAGTGTAGTGTTATGGAGTTTCCCTATCAAATTTTTATGTGCTTATTAATTTTATAATGATAGTTTTTATAACTAAAACAATATTTCTGAAGCTATATTTGCA